AATTCATGGCATGTTATCTCTGTAATGAAAGAAAGGAGCACTAATTCACACCAAGATAGTAAGAGTTCAAAAAATAACGTTGGACACAGCCTTCTCTGAACATTTGCAAATACACAGGCAATTTATTCTCTACAGAACACAAGCTTTGCATTTAAAACAAAGCAAGCAGCAACACGGTAAAAATGTTTTCAGCATTTGAATACAACAGTGATCCATTATGGTAGCTGCAGCATGCAACAGCAGTTTCAAATGTTGATCCCACCTTTACAGCATAAGGTGTACTTGCGCAACCTCCTCATGCTTTCAGATGTAAGGAAAACTTTAGAAACGGTTCTGCAAAGGTATACTGCAAAGTTATACAGCTCCTTTAGTAACTAAGATTTTTTTCAATTTACATACCAGTTTTATGATCTCCTTTTCCCTCCTCCTCCAGCAGTATCAGAGCTGGAAGATTTGAACTAGTCAGACTGTCAAATGGTCTTTCCCGCCATGTTTGACAACCCAACATTAAAGAAAACACCACTTGTGGAATGACAAAGATCCACCTCATTGAAAGGGCCAAAGAAACTGCAAGACCATCTACCAAGGAAGATCCATCTCAATACTAATTCTCTACTTAAGGACCAAAAACCCCTAGCTACTGAAACAGAAGAAGGTGACTTTTCACTATTACTCATCCATGATATTTGAATTGGTATCCAGTTGGCTCTGGCAAGTCATCTTCCATCTAGGAAACAAACATTATTCTGCATTTCATGTGGTAAGGATGATTCTTATTCAATTACTACCTAGATCTGCTCCAATAACCATACATTCAAGAATGGAAAGACATTCAGTCAGAAGCCATTGCATATTTCAAAGCTACTTTAGTTATAAAAACAAAAGGGTAAATTCAAGCCAATAACAGAATGCTAACCTAAGAGATCTAAATCATGCTAAGAGCTACAAATTCACTAGCTTATCCCAATTTGCTTCTTTCAGTTTCCTGTTTCCACTTGTTTAGTTAACTGAGGTATTCTAATTTGGCTGTTAGGTATGTACATATCTTCTCAAAAAATAAAATGGCCAATCACGTCACCAAAACATGAAGCAAATTAGGTGTCTAAATGCTCACAACCCTTTGGGTATCATTGTGGTATATGCCTGTTCTGATTCTAAACATACCTGGCAGTATGACTTGGCACTCATGCTGCTACATCATCTACAAGGCTATCATTGCCTGGCATGTACATCACCTAGTTTGACCATTCTTTTCCGAGCGGTACAAAGAGTTTCTCAGCTACCAACATGAAGAGATCAAGTGGAGGTGCCAGAGTGGGTAAGATCTCCTCCTCCAAAAGCTCGCTGATCCCTTGCTTTTAAAGGGATTGTGCAATATTCAAACATTATTGCCTGTCACTACAGAAAAGGCAACTTATACTGAATTCCTCGACAAAATAGTTCCACTGTTTTTTTTTTCTAAACAAAAAAGACCGTCTGTGGAATGTAGAAGTGTTATTGACTGCTTGACTACTGAGACGCAAGGTAGAGCAATGTTTCTTCTCACAGCATATCAGAAATACTTCAATAACCAAGGAGGTTCAGACCAGCTTTAATTAAACCATAAGCAGCTGTGTATCTCAGCAACAAAAACTCGTATTCAGATAATTACTGACATCAAATTAAAGTCATTACCCTTTAAACACTGGTAAGTAAAGCATGTCATTCTCAACAGTGATCTAGATCAGCAGACATCTCCAGAAAGATGACAATATCAGTGTTCACTCAGCACCCTGAAGTCCTGCCTCTTTTTAAAGTAAAACATGCAGTAAACATTACAGTAAACATTTCAGCATTTTTTCTGACTAGAACTGATGGTAGGAACAAAAAAATTTATCATTTTGTGATAAATATTGTAAAAAAAAAAAAAGTGTTTATGTTTTTAAGAATCCACTGGGTTCATAAGAGTTGGTTGAAGTGAGACATGACAAAGATCTACCCTGTAGCTAGTGCCTTGCCTTTGCAAACATTATTACATAGTGAAACCCCTAAATCTGCCAACCCTGGAGACATCCACGTATGAGCAAATAAACTTCCATTCAGTTTTAACAGAACACATTCCTTTTGCAAATACAATAGCTAACCAGAAAAAATTCTGATATCCCAACCTGTATGTATGAAGATTCAAGTTGAAACAAGGCAGCTCTTCCAAAACCCTATGCATTTTTTGGAAGTATGCCAAATAAAAGATTGCCTATATCTTATAATATATTAACAGCACAACAAAATCTTTTATTGCTGACCAGGAAACTGTTCCATATGATTAGAACAAAGACTTGTGCCCTTGTTCAGAAAACAAACAATTAAGAAGTGCCAGAACTAATGATGTCAATACAGTACAAGCCTGCTTCCTTGTGTACGAAAACAAAAAAACCCAAATCACTAAATTTTCTGCAAGACCCAGCCTTATTCACTGCGAGAATTTTTTGGTGAATGAAATGAGGGGAGTGGTTCCAACAACAAATGGAGGTCTCAAGAAGTTTCCTTAATGAGGGGGGAAGAAAGGTCCTGCATGAAGAATATTTGAAAACTTAACACATACACACACAAGGAAGCAGGATCAAGAACTACATGTAACCTTGTATTTACGGCCTTACTACTGCAACTCTGCAAAATACAAAATGGTTTTGTAAAAAAAATTTCAAATAAAACATCTTTCACATGATTGCAAGTGCATAGTTTACAAGATCAGCCTTGTATACCTGTTATCAGTTCTAGAGCAAAGAGGAACAAAGTTTTAACAGATGACAATACAGGATAAGCCCTTTACCATGTTCCACTTTTATTGAACATTTTCTGCAAATGCAGATTATACCTTACTTCAGGTCGTACGCATCAACTTAAGCCATGATAAATCAACGCTTTTGAAATCCAAATCTTAGTGGTAAGGGGTTAGGTAGTGGTTGATTCCTGTAGTTAGAGGAATTACAACAGCGTAACAGTCATTCACAAAAGCAGTATGGTGCAAGAGGCTCTTTGGTGCCAAAAAATTGTCAGTGATGCATTTACGAATGCTGCCCAGTGGAAAGTAATCCAAATCCTATATAAATGTTAAAGGACACTGGAGACTCCTGTATCTTGAGTAGTCTGCGAAGAATATCACCATTAAAGAAGAGCTGTATAAAAACCAACGAGAAATGACTTCAATGAGAAAGTATATCCTATCTTTCCTCCTGAAATACAGGTCAAATAAGGCCCAGCTCTGCAGCAGGCATCTTATTTAATCGGATTTAAGGTGATCTGTACATTAAGATCCTGAAAGATCACTGCCTTAATCTTATACCCATTTATTTGGGCATTTATGTGGCAATATGCTTGCATCATCTAAATCTTCAGTAGCGCCTAAAGAACATACTGCTTATATCACAGCATGCATCCAGAACACAACAATCATACATCAAACACCTGGATTCATACGTAGAAACCCCAGAATTCAAGTGAAGTTAAAGAAATCCTAAAATAACTTGCAAATTCATATATTTAGTGACTTGTGTGTTTTTTGTTTTTTTTTTTTAAATCAGGTAAGTGTAATAAAAATGCAGACTTCCTTGTGAAATTTTTTCAAACTACAACGTATAAGCCGATCCTCGCATAGATATACACATATTTACAAAATTTATAGAAAAAACAAGAGTCCTGTAGACAAGATTCCTAACTTGAGCGGAAAAACACTAAGTATACCGTAAAGAAGAAACAAAGATAAAGGGCCAATTCTGTCATCACAAGCACTTATGGTTCCATACTAACTCCATTCATTATTGCATGCATTAGAAGCCCAGAGTTACAAGTGTCTCTAGGTACAGCCAACCGACTACATTTCTTTTCCAGAATATCTGACTTTCAATCCTGGTCTAAAAGTGAAGGTACTAATAAACACGTCAAATAGAAGAAAAAACTTCATGTGATTAACTACACTTAATGCTGTAGTAATCTGCACAACTCGGCTGGGTTTAACAAAACTGCAAGTTTCCATTTCATAATCCTATTCTAACTTGCAACATCTGCATGATAAGGAAAGATGCAACATGCAGCTTCTCAGACACTTTTAGAACTGTAATCTCTAAAATCTAACATTCCATTCCTTTTAAAAATGCAAGTTTGCTTCACTGAACTACCACTGCAAACACTATACTTTTAATTGTGCCTGCCTCAGAGTATTTTAGTATACAGCTGAAACATTTGCACCCCCTAGCTGTCACAGGTAAGACACAGTACTTATATCTAACTTACATTCATTTTCAACTTCAAATTTATTGAGGCAGTTTATATCAATGTATCCATAAAATAATTCAGAAATAACCCAAGTATACCATTTAAACATCTTCATGATTTATCCATTTACACACTCAGTACACAAACAACCCAGCCTCTGTACAGGTTCATCACATGCAAACCACCCATAAAGACAAAAACTTTTAATTAAAAATAAGTCACAACTCAGTGTACTGTATCAACTGCATCTCCATTTACCAAATGGCACATTGAATATTCTCTAAAATAAGATGTTTTTAACAATCTTGTTAAAAAATTCTTGGGCAAAATATTTCTAGACTTAAAAAACATCAAGATTTTTCAAAACACTCAAGATACTATACAACTTATAATAACCTTGAAATAGGTATACAAGGTTGTTAACCAAGGTATTTACATACCAAATAATGTAAAGCAAAAATTCATATTTTGATGACAAAAAGGTGATGCATTAAAGATTTATGAAATTAAAATTAAGGCTCTTTGTTATAGTACTTTATGTAACTTTACATAATAGCCAACTTTGGAAATGTCAGTCTTGCACATTCTTGTCAATCTACTGCATTCAAAGCAGTAGAGTATATTAAGTATTACTTTGAATAATTACATTGCTACTTCTATGTTGAGCATGCTTTTGAAACACTGTAATTATGAAATATTTACAATGTGTAGCCTTCAAACTTTATGTAAAAGCACAAGTATGACTGTCTGATTTGAATACAAACAACATACTTGCAAAAATGTTTTTGCTTCTCAAAATTTAATGCAAATTACTACAGTCTTAATAAGCAAACCATTTCTGAATAGTTTTAATGTGTGCCTGAATGTGGACAGTAAAAGTTACATGAACTCAGACAGTACTGTTTTTCATTTTAGACTGAACTATTCTTTGTACCAGACTTTGTTTTCTTGAAGCATGTAGAAAAATTAAATATTTTTTAAAAAATTACTCCAAGACCTGCATATGTTTTCTGAGTGATGCCTACAGGTTTCCTGAAAAATCAATACTGTCTAGCAGGTTGTAATGATTGGTCCACAGTTTATTTCAGGATGTGTGTTCAAATAAAAGCAACTTGCTTGTTTTCAATGTCATTTCTCTTAAAAAGCACAGTGATAAAAAACACTGAAGACAGAACAAAAAAAATGGAATGGTAACCTAAAGATCAAATTCATTACCCATTTCTCCTACTATATCAAAATTTGTAGTCAGAATTGTCTTTATTGACTTTATTTTAGTTTTTGTACACAAAGAAAAACATGTTCATATCCATAATGAACAAAAACTTAAAAAGGCAGAACTAGAAGACATTTGTGTCCTTCACCAAAGCAAAGCTGTGCTAAAGGTTCCAAACATTTCCATTTTTAAAATAAATATTTTCTTTTTTCATTGTCTACATTCCAGTCTTCAGAGTGTCACTGGAAACTGCAGCCTATCATGAAATACACACTTTTAAACAGAGTCCCAGCTCACTGCGTTTGGTAGCTTGCCATACCATATCCAGCTTGATTAGGTATTACAGGAGCACCTTGTCCCTGGGCAGGTTGAGCACCAAATCCACCCATCCAGGCAGCAGATGGAGATTGGCTTAAAAAGAAATAGAAAACGGAGGAAAAAGAAAAGAAAGAAAAAAAAAAATCATGCAAGCCAGTCAAGTTATTTACAAGACAAATTAAAAAACAAAACCAAAAAAATAATAAAACCACTTCCTATACTACCATTCATATCGGAATAGAACGTTCTCTCTCTTTAATGAGTAATTCAGAAGTCTTTTATATTACATTGTAAGTGGTACAACATGTGTGACCTGAAGATATTGTAAGCGTTTAGAAAGCAACATAAGACTCCCACAAACTTTGAGTACTAGTTATATGGGAGAAGAGCCTCCAAAGGCATGCGCTATATACGCATGTGCACTTGCACACACCCCTCACTGCTTAAAGCGTTTAAGAAAACGTGCTGAAGTCTGTCTATGTTGGATAGATCTTTTCAAACTGAACATAATTTCCAAAATAACTTGTTTTAGCTTGCAAATTCTGAAACATTCCAATCCTCAAAAGAAGCCTCTGGACTACACAGGTTTTAATCGTCCAAGAGCTTATGGTCTGGCAACCTGCCAACATCTAGAACAAATTCATTCTACAAAGTCATCAATATACTGCACTTCTCAAACACCAAGTGTAAAAGACTATTTCAATAGGAACAAGGGAACTTACCATTATATTTGCACACAAATAGCTTAATATAATTATATATAAGATTTTTTTGATTTATACTCTGATTTGAAGAAAATATAGTATGACATTTTATTATATTAATAAAAACTAAAAAGTTTTTCGTTGACCGACAATGACATACCATACTTCATAAATGTTACAGTGTTCCTAGATCTGTCCATTTTCAGGTCAACATCAGCAATGCAGAAATGCAAAAAAACTCCAGTCTAATTGGCATGAATACCAATGACAGGTTTATTGTGGCTTAGTATGTTTAATTGACATGAATAGACAGTGTAAAACTATTTAAGCGAAGAAGTTATTTAAACAGAAAGTTGTCGTGAAGACTTCAGGAAGATAACAAGTATTAAAAACCCACCCAAATTCTTACGCTGCAGGATTTAAAAGGTCAGTATATAGTTCCTGCTCTCCAGGATTACGAATCCTTTAGACAAGCACTTTGAGCTCTCTGGTTCAGACTTTCCCAATATCCACCACCTTAATCACATCGATTTTTAGAGACCTGAGAAGACCACCATTTGAAACTCCACCACAAAAGGAGTCAGTGTTTGTTACCTTGAGTCTCAGAACAACCACGTGCGCAAAATTTATTACTGAGTATAGGTTAGAGTGACTCACTCACTATTTGGTGCATGGTAATCATTAAACATAACCTTTAAGCATGTGGGAATCCCCCTAGGAAGGCTTGAAACCTTGTGCAATCCTTGTAATGAAGGAGCCCGAAACTCAGATCTAGCATTCTTAGAACATTCAAAAACATTAAGTACAATTACTCACTCTACTCCAAAACCCTGTTGATTCCATGCTTGACCATACATTCCATATGATGGTACTTGCCACCCATTAGCCATATATTGCCCATACTGTTGTGGATTTCCATACACTTGGCTCCATTGCCCCCACTGACTGTAGTCCACCTAAGGAGAGAGTAACTCATAGTACTTCAGGTTTTAGAGACAGATTACACTCCTATTTTGCTGCTGAAGGCAAAATTGTCTGTATCAACCACACTGGCTAGAACTGTTTAGCAACAGTGACATCAGAAAAATAAGCAAGAATACTGCCACCTTAACTAGACCCTCGTACTGAAAATGGGGGGGGGGTGCGTGTGGGTGTGGGTGTACGTGTGCATGCACGGGGGGGTGGGAGGGTGGGGAGTGGGAAGTTAAATATTTGGCTGGATATTCAGCTAGTAAGTAAACTAGCAAGAATCAGAATTACCTCAAAGTTTCTCCCTATCTTGAATCATATCCAGAAGACAGTAACAGATATTCCAGCAAAAATCACTAGCCCAATTTGATGAACAACTGGAACATAACTGAGACAGAACATGGAATTTCATAAGAAACTACTACAAAATTTAGCTATTATAATTTGGAAGGCATTATAGGTATGCACTGTTGCTTTTGTTATACAAACACAGAAATGAACAAAGAAAAAGCTAAAATGTACTTACCTGTTGGAAGTTTTTAGTCATATCAGGGGATTCTTTACCCCAATAACATTTAACAACATGTCCTTCAATTGTGGTTCCATTAACTGAAACAATAGCATGTGCTGCACTTTCGTGGGTTGAAAATCTAAAGAATGGAAAAACATATGAACGTTATATTTTATAGTACTTTCACTTGATCATTAAAAAACAGTGACTCCATACATACAGGAAATCCAGAGAAAAAGATCTGCTTTCACAGATTTTCATCTTCTCAGGTAAAAAGATTGATGGCCACTTTTAAAAGAAGTTCCAAATTTTTCTATGAACACACGGTGACAGCTTTTAATGTAACAGCAGAAGTTCATTCAAGTGCAACTACAGAATGACGAAACATTACTATGGTAAAATCACAGACTTTCTTTTGCTCTATTCATACCTGACAAACGAGTAACCTTTTTCTGGAAACACTCTTATTTCCATAATCTGTCCAAATGGTGAAAAAGTCTGTCTCATAAGTTGATCTACAACACACACAATAACGTTTTTGAATTAACAGCCACCTTGGTGTCCAAAAAGCTTCAGTAATACAAGAGGAATAAAAGAAATCATACCTGTAAGCCCAGAGGCAATTCCTCCACAGTACACAGTACAATTTTTTGGACTCGACTGATTTACTACATCTTCAAATCTCAACTGCTTTGTATTATCTATAAAGAGAGAAGGCTGTTTTTAAGCTTGGGGCTAACAGAAACCACACAATCTCAGATACTTACCTTGCACAGAAGTATGAACTGTACACTTAACAAATATATACCATGTTTTATAATAGACCACCACTATGTTGACTTAATAAACTGGAAAGATCTGTTCTTTAAGATCTGGAAGTCAAATCAGACATCTAAGCGAGCGACATGATTTTGATGGCACTACGTCTATTGCTCCAATTTCAGACAACAGTGCCAGGCAAAAGAACAAACACAACACAGTATTAGATGAAGGGCCTTACTTTCTTGTGTACTTTTCGGAGCTGGTGGTTTCCTTGTTGCCCAGTTAGTTCTGATCTGACGGCCTCCCAACCACTGGCCTCCCATGTGTACGATAGCATTTTCTGCATCCTAAAGAGATCAAAATTAAGATTGCAAACATATGCAAACAAGAAGTATGTAAAGCAATTTCTAAGAAAAAATTGGTTGTCAGTTAATTCCATTTACAAAACAAATAACAGTACTGAAAAGTTTCTGAAGTTACGAAGAATCACTAAGCTAGCAGCCAAAATGAAATAACACCAAAGTAATCAGTTACAGAAAAAGTTCTCACATGTGATCTCATAGACAATCCCAACTCCCCATTTTCTACACATGGGATAGAAGCCAACCACAGTCACATATGCGCTATCTTAAAAGAATGAATACCTGTATCAAAATATTCAACAACTGCCCCCCAAAAAAGCACAAAAGTCATCCAGAGGCCAGAAGCAATTATTGAAATGAAAGAAGTTTAATAATACAAAAATCAAATGGTTTTGCCAATTGACTGCATTAAAAATACAATATGCAAAAGTATATTTGATAGTAACAGATGAAAAGTGAGGAAATATTTTTGAATTATCAAAATCCCTCACCGACAGATGGCTCAGATGTAACCCAACTAAATTTTATACCACGAAGGGCATGTTGCAAAAGACGTTTATATAAAGGTTTCAATTTTTCTTTTTTTTTTTTTTTTTTTAAAACATCTTAATATGAACTCAGCATCATGGACCAAGTTTTATTAGAAAAATCCTAAATTCTGGGAAGGCAGAATGGTAATTATTAAGAAACTGTAAAGCTGAGATATGATAGGATAAAAATGGATTAGGCCTGCAGTTCTCCTTTATTGGCGCTCCCCTCGCCCCAACCCTTTCCACTCTGCTCTCTGGAAACATGCAGTTTTTATGTTCGAGTGCAGATTGCTTCTATGAATTCTGCAAATTTTAAAGTAATTGCATGAACAGGGGTGAAGAAAAGAGTCTATGGCCCAAGTAACTTAACTTGTGCATGAATTAGAAGACAATATCTAAATTCACGCTGTAAGCAGAAACGTCTTGTAAGGAAGCGATAGGTTTGCTAAAACTGCGAGAAGCAGTTTCTTCCCCAACTGTTTTGAAAGGGGAGAGGCAGAGCAAACGGTACACACACTGAAAAGGCTTTTCCAAGGGCACAAAGTTTATGAAGGAAAAATCTATAGCACAAAGGGAGAGTACAGAGAGTTTTAAAATGACTGGCAAGCATTTTGTTGCATACTGAAGGCTTTCCGTTTTAAGAACAAATTCGTCTCAACATCCAATCATTCAGGACCTTGATCCTCGTAAATTCCACTTCTAGAGCGCTTATTTTTAAAACCATGCGTAAATACAATAAAAAAAAGATGACCCACAAGAACAAAATCACTTACTTGAGCACCCTCGCTTCCCAAAAATAATGAATAAGTGACAAACAGAGTAGGAAATCAAACAAGCCCTAATGAATTTTTTTTTTTAACAGTCTTGAGGATCATACCTATGGCAAAGGGAATTGAGTCCATACCTTAACTGCTCCAGTTCACTGCAATAGCTTTATTTTCTCAGAACTGTGCTTTACATTAAGACCTCAGACTGGAATATGTGAAGTCTGGGAACATACCCCACTTCCCCAATTCTAGCAGGCTGATAATACATTAAAAATAGGCATTAGATATATAAGCATCTCGGGGGGGGGAGGGGGGGGAAGGCCTTAACCAAACAGCTACTAGCTGAATGGACATAGTCAAGACAAAATTTTACAAGTACGTTCTAGTATTACATTTAGAATTCACACATTAATTCTGTGGAATGAGTACAGACTTCATATGGGTGTTTTTATGGCTCCAACTTAAGAGAATTCAATAACTCGGGTTCTATACAACTGTTACAACATTTTCTCTATGGTCTCAGAAACGGAACAGAACCTTATGGTAAGGCAGGAGGGGTTCCAGAAAATGAGACCCCTATTTCTGTTGTCTGTATCAGGTGCAACACAAAATAAACAAAGTGTAAGTGCTAAAATACACTAATTCAAGGTATTAAAGTATAATCTCCCCAACTTCTAATATATTAAAATATAATTCTTCCCAATACAAGAGACACACGGAGCTCCTGGAGCGAGTCCAGCAGATGAGGAAGGGACTGGAGCATGTCTCCTATGAGGAAAGGCTGAGGGAGCCGGGCCTGTTCAGCCTGCAGAAGAGAAGCCCGAGAGGGGATCTGATCAATGTGTACAAGTATCTGAAGGGAGGCTGTCAGGAGGATGGGGCCAGACTCTTCTCCGTGGTGCCCAGAGACAGGACAAGAGGCAACGGGCACACACTGAAACGCAGGAAGGTCCGTCTGAACATGAGGAAAAACTTCTTTACTGTGAGGCTGACAGAGCACTGAAGTAGGCTGCCCGAAGAGGTGGTGGAGTCTCCTTCCCCGGAGATGCTCAAAAGCCATTTGGACACAATCCTGGGCAATGTGCTCTAGGTGACCCTGCCTGAGCAGGGGGGGTTGGACTAGATGGTCTCCAGAGGTCCCTTCCAACCTTAACCGTTCTATGATTCCGTGAATATAATACGGCATTTGCAAATCTGAAAAAAGTCAGAAAATCTGAAAAAACACTTTTTTTGACTAAGGGTTAACTCCAGATGAGAGTTACAAAAGACAAAAAAAAAAAAGTTCTGGCATGGAGGACTTCTGACCACACACACGTGCTTATATATCTAAATTCCTGAACTGTTTTTTCTTATGGACAACGTTTAAGGAAAGCTTTTTACACAGTTTCCCCCATGCCATCTTATATGTATTTCTAAACCAATACAACTCAGATTTCCAAATCATTTCCACAACTTCCCTGTGTTCTGAAACACTTCATTAACTTTCAAATTACCAAGAATTACTCGAGTCAATTCTATTATTATGAATAATAGGATATATGGTACTATTTTTATGCATACCATACTGATTAAATTCTAAAAATAACAGGTCTCTAATACGGGTATCAGAAAGGGATGCTAGTCACTTATCTGAAGCATTTTATCCTTAGCATGCATAATACAATCCATTACGTAACAAACAACATTCAACACAATTTTAGTTTTACAACACGTACATACAAAATACTTTAAAGTACAAAATCGACTCTTAGCTACAAATTAATCACCCAATAGACAAAGAGTTATCTTAGTTTTCAAAATGTTTCCTACAACTCAAGTAAAGATCAACCAAAAAAACCATCGGCTGCCTGGGACTGAAGGCAGTACTGTTGCTTTACTGAGATGCAGAGCTCGAGCTAATGAATTCAGCTAGACTTTAGTTTCACAGAATCACAGAATCGTTTAGGTTGGAAGGGACCTCGGGAGATCATCTAGTCCAACCTCCCTGCTCAAGCAGGGTCAGGCATTTGTCTGCATGGGCATGCATATCCGTGGAGAGACTGAGCTTTGGTGTGAAACAGGACCTAACAAACATAAAACCCTGCTGTGTACTGAGGCATTGTATTCCTTAGGATTGAGGGCTCTAGGGCTTCATTTCGTGTGGGGCTGTTCCTTAACATATGGAACCACACTGGACATGGTACAGTACCTCAGCTAATAGACATCCTGCAACTCAAAAGCACTGCTGAACAGACACTTCACTCACTAAAAATGAGCAATGGGTTCAGAAACTAAACTACAAAAACCCTGACACAAATAAACTTTGTCTGTTCAGGAATCTTCTTTCCACAACGTTCCTGCAGCACCACAATCATCTATATTGTTTCAATGCTTACCACAAATAATGGAATTTTTAAGTTTTTTCTTGCAGGCTCAAAATTATTTCCCTCGGGAAAGCCTGATACATACTGAAGATATAAAAAGGAAAACTAGAAGTGGAAAATCCGCAATCACAAATATCTGACAGAAAGACTAATACTTAGAATTCTGGCCAAAGTGACTTCAGATTGGCATTTCTTTATTCAGAGCCTGCATGAATACTTATTCATATGAACTTAATTTACCTTTAAATCTACACCAGTTTGTGATTACTCACCAGTTTGTTATAAAAAGATACAAAACCATAGCCTTTTGACTTTCCAGTTGCCATATCTTTAACTACCCGTGCATCCCTGTGAAAAGAAGCACAGCTATATGAGGCTAATATTAATAACCTGCAAAATAAAAACTAAAAGGAACCACACACACTGTATTGTGAGCATAATTTTTTCTTATAAATTCAGTTAGCCCTAAAACTACAGTCATTCCTGAACTCTCCCTATTGCTTCTTTACCTGTTAGAAAAAAGCAGTAGGACAAAAAAATAACATGTAATAAACATGCAACCTATCCACATAACCTATACTGGCTAAAACTAGAAAGTTCAAATTTGAAGTATAAAAGAAACAAAGTTTCCTTTTCTAATATTCTATTGGCTAGGGTCCGCTAAGGTTTACTGTTCTATATATTACGGCAACAATTCTATCTACTTCACCATGCATTTTCTAAATAGTTAAATGTCTTCTGCCTAACGATACCAAATATATGAAATATTTAAAAAATCGAAAAAGAGGAAAAAAATAGGAATTAAAAGGCATACATGGCCTGTTAACAGATTTCTTTATTTTTCTCGGTCAATTCTCTACCATCATTTTGGAGTTTGGGCAGCTGTAAATTTTGAAAAATTGACATTTTAAGAAATTTAAGAAAGGAGAATAAAACTAACAACAATGCTAAGCACACCAGTACGAAAACAACAAATTTACACAGAAATTTTAGTGAGTAAGTTAAAATGATTGGAAATATAGAACTGCACTGAATATAGAATGTTAAAATGTAAATACTAAAATATGTATATATAAATAATGTATAATAAGAATAAATAGAAATGAGAAAAAATCTACAACTGAGTTCCAGTGTGCACAGTTCCTTGCAGTTAGCCTTCAAGATCCTGTCCATTCTTATGAGCAATTCTGCAAAATAACCAGAATGCTATTACTTTTAATTGTGACTTGGACTTTAGAAAAACTGCAGGTCTCAGGTATAAATATAGATTGAGAAACAGAAACCTGAATTATTCTCTTTACACCGATTTTTAAACAGTACTACTTACCACATTAAGAGACAAAAAGCAAAATAAACAAAATAGCAGAGGTAAGAAATATGATTTATATTTCATTTAAAAATATGCGTACAGAACAAGAGGAAAAATAAGAATTTTTGTTCTTAGAAATATATTCCTGTAAATTAGTATAACAATGTTCATGTGCAACTTTAAAGGCTTTTTATAAAGCTAAATTGATAGAAGATCAAACTTCTTTGCAGCTGTACTCTTAAAGACGTACATACTGTAGCTCTTACAAGGATTCTTGTAATATTAAAGATGTTGAATTAAAACAGCAGATGACTTATATCACCTGAATTATCTATGAGAAGTTTAAAGAAACTTTCTCTTCAGGGGCTGAAGAGTGCACATATTGTAAATTCAACATTCTTTCATTTAGATATTATAATCTTAATTCATCCCCTGTTCCCATCTAGAGAAGTTAATTTCATTCTCAAAAATAAATACTATTTTTTCAAAACATCCACAACTTAAAAACTAGTTCCTTCATAAGATTATACTCTTGTAATTACCTATACTGCCTATAAAGCGCAGTATAAAGGCATATAAAATGTTGAAGTTGCAACATACATCACTTATAAGTCAAGTCACTATTCTGTACACATTCTGAACAACAAAAAGTCACACTTTAAGAGTAATTAAATTTTAATAAAAACTTGAACGATATTAGCACATAAATTAGGTTAAAAGCATATTGTTTTCAACAAAACTGGAGCACAGAATTAAATTACTATATTTACAAACACGTGATAGATACACGAGATCAAACAAAAATTCCCTCTTTATTGCCCACCCAACATACGGAAAAACACATCAGAGAAATGATCTAAAAGATAAGGAATACTATTTCATTCAGAAGCAAATTTCTACTATTGCATTCTCTAATACTGATATTGATGATTTTGATTATGATACTTACGATATTTTACCAAAAGGAGCAAATGCTGACTTGATGTCTTCTGTTGTTATTTCTGGACTTAAATCCCCAACGAACACATGGAAGTGATCTGAAAATAAATAATTTACTAATCAAATATTTAACTGCTAGCTAAAATTTTAACTCCTGAGACAGCGATGCTCTGCGTACGGCACTGGGAACCACGAACACCCAGGATTCCATTTCATGCGCAGCAGCAATTTAGTCTGTCCGCTCCAGTTTCCCCAGTTGTAAAGCAGAAACAGAAGAATTAGTTTGCAAAATGCTCTTAAATACAAGATGGGAAGGAGAAAACAGTTATGTTTAAAGGCATTTATAACAACTTATTTCCACATTTTGAAATATTTGCACACAAGTGATACTGTCGCATTACTTTACTTACTGGATGTATCTTTTTTCTGGCTACTTGGTGTTGTCGCCCAGTTTACTTTGACCTCCTGAAAATAAGTGTAAGATTTAGTGTAAATTCAAGAAAATTCTTATGTTTTGTAAGTTCATTCAGAGGTTGTTTACAACTGTTAACGTTTACAAATTATCTTTCAATATGAAAAACTAGTGCTTAAAACATCACAAACTATAAGGATACTGTGTTTCCTAAATATATTTTTTCTATCAAGTAGTATCTTATTCTAAATAGTACTTAACTTTGGTAAACATCTTCATTAACATTAATGTCAAAGGTTTAGGTGGCTTTTTTGTTTGTTTGTTTTACACAAACCTATTTTCCTTTAACCTAAGATTACAACGTATACAACTTACCTTTCCCAAAATTTTTCTCCCATTCATAGCAGCTAATGCAGCAGCTGCATCTCTGTGTTCATAAAATTCCACAAAGCAATAAGGGTCATTGCTTGTATGCTGCAAAACAGAAAATCCAACAGAAGAGTTGACCCTTCTGCTATCGGGTTGCTGAGAAGAAAATCCAGGAAAATATATTACTTATAGCTAGAAACTTTAAGAGTGATTTGCATTAGATTTATGAAATAGCCTTTGAAATTACACTTAAAATTTAAGAATTACTAACACGGACTTCTTGAAAGATCTAGCAATTTCTGAAGTATAGTTCACTTTATACGAGGGCTCAATATTTTAAAGTCTACTAAATTTAAAACAATTCAACTATCAGAAAGGTGATCTGCAGACTGGATTGGAGGGTGGGGGAGAGAGAAAGAGAGGCAAAAAGGTAAGAAAGTAGAGAAGAGCCATGACAATTGTCCTCTGCCTCTAATACGTACACAAAGTCTGAAAGGTTTTTCCCCAGAAACCTTCCTCAAATCTCTCTCTCTTCATCCTACTTCAGGAGTCTTTCCTCTTATTTGCCTGAAGAATCGCTAGCAGACAGCCACCTAGAGCTTGCATATTTTCAGCCTCATGTGAAAAATGTTACGCTTAACTAATAACTGCGAAATACACCTTTAAAAGGACTCAAAATAGTTTAAGACTGAGGGAGGAGATGATATAATCAATGGATTACCCTGCTGAATCTCAAGTATGATCCGTTTTTTGTAAACTGGCCTTTCAAATCACCTTTAAAAATACCAACTGACAAACAAAGCTTACTGAAGTATTAGATGTACTGAAGATAAGTGAAGTAAAAGTTTTCAGAAAAGTTGATCAAGTGAAAGTGATGATTCGAATACAAAATTCTAACATTGGATTTAAGCTGTCTGACAAATGCCACGAGTATAAAAATTGGAGCATTACATCAAAATATCTACATTAACAATGTTGTATGTACAATTCATGCACCAAAAGATGATAAACACTAATACAAAACCAAATTAAAATTATTTCTTGCATGTTTTCAAAAGGCTCTAATTTGTAAACAACTACTTTGCTACCAGCATTCTTGCTATCGATTTCCCCCACTGGCAAGAAGAGCTTAGCATTAAAGTTAATACTAGGCCTTTATCAGTTTCACTGTTTAACTTTTGATATCGCTATGCGCCAGTATGAAGTATCAGAACACAAATAAATCCCAATTCTGTTCCGTAAAACTGGACTGCATGTCTTCAAACATAGTTCAGTTGAAGAAGGGAGATGAACCTGAACAAGGGAGACCACAAAGATCTAACAGATGAACCAGTCACGTGGCCTTGCATATATCAAAAATGATGAAATAGTCCTAAGTAGTCCTTCTAAGTACTTTCAGTATGAAATATTCCCAATGGGCAAAATGAACAGACAGAGAGAAAACATACCCAAGATTACAAAAATATAGTTAACAACTACTAAGTGATTAATCGACGCATTGACCTCAGACGCCCCAAAACACTCAGACTTAATTCACCTCTCCTCCCACACTACTTTACTGCTGCACAATGGGAAACACATGTGAGGCTTTAATAGATTTAGTGCAGTTTATGCTTCAATTAAAATCCATCCTACGTTTACTTTCAGATTGTGAAGAGGTCTGTTTTAGCGCCAAAGCCTTGTTCAGACAAGGAAAGAGCCTCTTTTGTAGATGCCTCCATCCATAGGTGTTCAAGACACCTAGAAACACTAGTCACATTGCCCCTCTGAGTATTATATATCCCCCCAATGAACACCTGAAATCTCTACACACTTGATGTTCGTGCCACATCTACCAAAAAAAAAAAAAAAAAAGAGCGAAGACATGCAACAGTTGATACAACTGGCTAAAAAGAAGAAACTCAAAAGGAAACATCCTGCTATAAACGTGACTGATGAAGATAGTAATAATATAAGAAGTACTTAAACATAAGCTAGCGTCTACGAAAAGTTGATTACAGTACAATGATTAGAAGGATGGACAATGTAAACAGGTACTTTGATAGTTATAGCTGTGACTTTCACAGCATTACAGCTGCAGGCCAATTCCACTCTAGAATCCAACCACAAAGTTAACTGGGCACTCAATTTCAAAGCGTAAGCATGACTTAATGTTAGTTTGAAATGTCTTTTAATTTTAAGAAATTGTTTTTAATAGCAACTGAACCACTAACAAACCATACAAAAATATTAAAACCCTGCAAAATATACAGGTAAAGGCATAACTAATATCTGTATTTTACAGTATTTACTAGAGAGTATCATTTTAATAGGTTTGCTACTCTAACTGAAACAAGATACTGTCCTCCTCTTTATTTTCTCTCAATATTCACTTTGGACTGTAGAGTAACTACAACAAATCGCTCCACATTTAAAAATATGTTTTAAGTAGTATTAGTACAAAATTTACAGTAGATTTGAAATGCAGATATACTTTAATGGAGGAAACAGAACACTCCTCTTAGATATTTATAGGCAAAAGACACTGCCCTTTCTAGCTTCAAATATTAATTCTCATTTAGCTCTTCTCCCCTCACCCTTTCTTTGTGAAGTACATCAGATGACTCCGGAGCAGCCCAAGGTAAAGAGAGCCCACAGTGAGTAAATGGAATATCTCAAAACTCAGTGAAGTTTTGAATCATGATAGATTGCTTGGTGACAGGTGTTAAGGTCAGCTAAGTATGTTCACCTCCATACATGACTGAATTGAGCTGCAAGTAGCTTTTTCTTATATGCTCAGTGTATAAGGATGTTTCACATGTTATTTCCACGGTATTTAAAATCTTAAACCAGAAAGCCTGGATCAAGGTAAAAGTAGTGTTGGAATTTCTCATCCGGTTCTCAAGAAAACAAATTGATGCTAACATCTCTCATAGTCAGCTGAAGGGTGAATTGGCAGTACCTTATTTCTGAAGAGTATAGGACAATCAGAACTCTTTCCTCAGAGTAAAAACTAACAATCGTGCAGTGTTACACATTCTGTTTAGATACCTTTCTCCAGTAACTTTCTAGAGAGAGAAGATGTGGCAGAGGAACAAAGAGAATAATTAAACAAGTGTTAGGTGGTTAATGAACTGGCTAAAGACAAAGAAGTAGTGCACTGTACTGAAAGCAAAAGCAGACCACAGAAGTTACTAGTGGTATTTCTCAACGATGAATCTTGTGACCAAATTTAACACTTTCATTAGTGATCTTGGTAAAAATAACCTGACTGTACTCAGGAAATCTGTATATGACAAGTTAGCAGGAAGAGCTGTAAGAAGTTCAGAGAAGAATAAAGGAGATCATATGGAAAACCAGTTAAAGAAACAAAGATCACACATAGCAAAAGTTCTGATTAGTCTCTACCTGCTAGGAGTTTATCAGGTATAAATGCAGAAGGAAGGAAGTCTATTAGGGAGTGACATGCTGAACAGGAGATGTCAACAAGATCACAGAAACGGCTAACAACCCTAAATGCACCAGAGCATTTACAACGGAGACAAGAAAGCATTAATACTTACCAATAGTTTGTACAAAAGACCTTATCTGGAATATTATGGATGTTTTGTCACTTTATTCCAAGAAAAAATTAATTTAAGAACAGACAGGTGCAGAAAAGGGCTATTCACATCGGCACAGAGGAGGCTCAGAAGAGCAAAACTTGTTTTGAAAGACTTTTGACTGTTCATAGTCAAAAAAGTAATAGCCCAAAAGGGAAAGTTACTGAAACTCATGTTCAAATAAAGTCAAAAAAGTACAAAATAGCCTGAATTAGACTGGATTTAGATCAGAAATAATAAGGTTTCTTATAATCAGAACAATGTGGTTCTGATGAAAAGGGGGGGGGGGCAAAAACCCTTTAAAGTGGAACCTCATCATTAGCTAGCAGAACAGATACGCAGATATGGCAGGGCCACTGGAAAAAGTACAAGACTGAACTCAGTAAGTCTCTCTTGCAAAAGATTATCCCCACATCCAAATACAATCAATCTAAAAAAAAGCTAACTTATCCATCATGTTAGGATATCACCAAGCTCCATTTATTTTCTACATTTTTATACTAAATTATATTTGTTACCCCCCTGGATGTGGAAGGCCTTACCTCTGTTATCATTTTACAGCTTTTGCATGGTCCAATCTGGCTGAATAACTGAAGTATAAGTACTTCAGTCACATCTCTGGAGAGGTTTCCTACATAGCTACACAAGGAAATAAAAAACAAAATCTTAAATCAGCAATTTTCAACTTCTTGAAGTTAATTGTGATTTCAAAACCTCAAATGACTAAGAAAACCTTCCCTTAAAATATCCCAGATATTTTAAACTGAAAGACAGTATTTACAAATGATTTCATGATACAGTTTTAATGCAACATTCATATGGTTTCTAGATTATAAAATTGGCCATATAAAGGAGATCATGAAACTTGAAACAAACGTAATACCGGACACCAATATTTAGTACCAATGCTTTTTTGGTAGAGAAATGTCAAATGCAGAAAGAATATTGCTCAGGAATGTTGGATAGCACAGGCAACCAATTGGGCAAAGATGCTCAAGTGTCACTTCCCCCTGAGCGTCTAATTGATTTGACTTTTGAATCTGGGTCTGAACTCATACCAACTCTCTTATTATTTTAGTAGTAACTAACAGACATAAATTGTGCTGCCTTGCAAGCGGCCAACTCAGTTTGTTCTCCTGAACACTTGGAAAACCAGCCCACTCACAAATAGGCAAGGCAATTTATGCAGTATTATGCCATGCGAGCGCTCCGCATAGCATCTATTTCAACTACTACTACCTTGGTGAAAACTCAAATTTTGGCAGAATTTGAACGTCATTAAGATTTCCTACTTTTTTGTTTTTAAAACCTGAGAAATAATCCCAAGTTTTGAAATACCTATCAAGTTCAGATTAAAAAGTCCTACAATTACCCAGATATCCAAAAATCCAATAGCAGAGTTTTAGAACTACTTCTAGATACTCTGCCAGATTTTAACACACACAAAACGTAAGATCACATCACGGAGACTGCTGAGAAAAAGCCACACATACAAAACTTAATTCTCAAAAAAAAAAAAAAAAAAGACTAGTTTGGAATGATACTCAAAATTGTAAAATTGTGCTCAGTTAAGTGAAAGGTTTTTCATAGCAACAGAACTCAAAATTGACAATACTGAAAGATTAATTATTTTTTAACATAAGCCTCTTGAGATATGAAGTATTCAAAAGCAACTAGTAAACAAGAGCAGAACTTCTGTGATTTATCTGTTAAAACAACAAACACATTTTATTCATCTTACTATTCTCTATTTTACTATTCATTTACTATTAAATAATTTCATAATGCAGCAAACAAAAGTCAACCTAAGCTGTTAATATACTTCAGTGAGCATAAGTGCCAAACAGTATTTCTTAGTTAATGCATAAGCCAAATACTTCTCACTACAGCAACTCAGAGTGCACACTTTTTTGCTTACTGTTAATTTCTTTGAGTAGAATTTTGAAAAGTAATTTCTGTGTTTGACAGGTGGACTTATATTAGCTTCAACAAAATTAAAATTGACATGACTTGCTTTCATTTGGGCACCACACAATGAAATCAACAGTTTTTGTTCATGTTGTTACTCTTTCAAGAACTACCAAACAGTTCTGCAATTTCTCAGTCAGGACTTAAACATAACATGAGATTTGGAGCGAGTTTCTTAAACCGGAATATAGAAATGTCCACTGAAAGCATTCATACACTTATTTTCTTACTAAACATGCATGAATTAATAAAGCTCATTTTTAGAAGCTACATTTGTAGCTTGTATTAAGTTACAAAGCTTTTCACTAAATAAGTTAAAACTTGCCAAAATTAGCAAATAAGACTTATTATACGACAAATTGTCTGCCTCATTGACTTAATTCTCTATACTGAAAATTTAACAGTTAAACATTTATCTACATCTTATTTCTGAAACCTTAACTATGTTTTTGTTAATCATTCACTAGAGTTAAAAATGCAAACCATTAATCGTTTTACATGAAAATATTAACCTTTGCAGATATTACTAAAATCAGATGAAAACTGATTACAAATAAGAATTCCTACAAAAAATTGTCAGTATCACTGTGAACTTATTACTAGTACTTATTTCCTTTGTATGCTGTAGAACAGTATTAGTTAACATCATTCCTGAACAGCATACTGTTACAAGCAATTGTACTGTAGCACAGACAAAAAAAAACAGATACAGTAAAGTCCTACCAACTCTATTTCTGGTGCAAAGTCATATTAGGTAAAAAAAACAATTAACAAAATAGAAAACAAAAATCTCAGCATCTTCTGCTTAACATTAATATGTATTTTAGAAATGCAAAACATTCTGAAAAACAGTCTGAAGAATTCCTTTTCGTCTGGCAACAAAGCCAGGAAAACCATGCTTTACAAATCTTTCCAATTAAGATGGAGTAAGTTATGCTAATTGCTAGACGAGATAATAGCTGGTTTCCCAATACCATGGTGTCTTCTTCAAAATAGTTGTGACAATGTTACACCATAAACTTTAACTATGAAACAGGTTGCCTCTTTGTAAAAAAAAAAAAAACAAAAAAAAACCAAACCACAGCAGGGTAATTTTGCATCAACTGATCACTAGTCTTAAAGGGTATGTCAGCTCCTAATGGTCCATTAATTCTCTAAAAAGGATATGATAAATACTGCCTTGGTGTATAATATCATCATAAATAAATGGCTTTAGCACCTTTCTCAAACTGCTAAAACTCTAAAGCCTGAACACACCCTGAGATTAGTTCACAATAAAACGCTCATGTAACAAGCACAACATCGACACTCAAATCTCTTGAAGCATATGTAAAATACAGGAATACAAACCTCTACAAATTTCAAATGATATACTAAAGAGTAAGGCTCGATAATTAATTTTATGGCTTTTTAAGTTAGTAGGTTGCAGTAACATTAATCTCCTTCAGAACAGTTAAAGATGACTTAAAAAAAAAAACATACAAGGAAACAGCTTTAGTGTACAATGTTTGAATGCTATATAACTAAGGAAAGAAACGTATTCAGCACATTAGGAACAAAAACCTTACCTTTCTGGAAACATAAAACTTTTCTCAGCTGATGCTAATCACCTGGCACATGTAGCCAGACTACTGAGGTACCCAGTTTCCCCTTTTTTAGCTCAGCTTATGCATAGAAGTAACAGAGTATTTTCTATTCTACTTTTTGAAACCAAAATAAGCAGAACCACACCTAAGGAAACATATGGCATTAAAAAAAATGCTATCGCATTATATTTCAAACTTTTTGTTTTGTTACATCCTAGAGGATATATCATTCAAACTTTTTCAAAATGATAAAACCCAACAGAGAAGAAGCACTTACTATACTTTTATAGGCTGTTGTCTTGGTTAATGTGACAGGGCAGCAAAAGTTGTGGCTTTTTGCATACAGGCAATAGTGTTTGTTCCCTTCTGCAAGTTTGAAGCACTTAAATACCAATTAATAAGCACATACAAAAAACCCAAATCAGATATATTTATATTCTGATATAAAATTTCAATATAATATACTTCTGAACGCTGCTGACAACACAAAGAATAAGAAACTATTTGAAATTCAGAGATCTTGTAAAATTGTCTAACGAAGAAAAGAAGCATATATCAGCAAGCAGTTGATTTTAGAATTAAATTCTCAGGCTTGAACAGAAAAATCCCCTTTGTGAAGGCAAACAGGTTTTCATTGTATCCTAGACAGGTAAGGAAGAAAGGGACATTTACAGCCATTACTTTTTCGTCCACAAAAGATCTCCTACATACTATTTGGAGGAAAGATAGTAAATATGTTTTTACACTCATGCAGACAACATGCAAGAAACGGCAGATTCTATATTTAAATGAAGAAAGTGCAATAAGAAACAAGGTAAGTGATGACATGAAAGTATCACAGAAATTCTAGTAGCACGTCTCTGACCAGTGCTAGTGAGCTACAGGAAATAAAATGATACCAAGAAAAATCCACTCTGTAGACTCCACTAGCAGACACTATTCCTCTATAAAAGAGCTCAACTGAGAGGAAACATAACAGGTAAGTGAATCCAGTTTCAGGTTCAAAACTGAAGAGTCTTACTTCAGCACGCTGTCTGGATTCCACAACTCCTACTATGTAACAAGGCAAGGCTTGTATAACAACTTACAGGTATGTTAGCGATTGTTCATGAAAAGTTTTTCTAATACCATTAACACAGAGAACACACAATTTTGGAACTTTTCTTCTGGTTGCGTCAGCTGAGAGCACTGGCAACACACTAAGCTTCTGGTAGTTTAAAGTTTCTAGCTTAAAGCAGAAACAGGACTTTGATACTGCTTGCGATGGAAAGAGATTTTTACAGCAAGCACAGAAAACAGTAGGGCTTTCAAATGTCCTATAAAAAAAATCCACAGTCTAGTGCGCTTGTTTAGGGCCTGCAAAAAATTTACAGTTCGATAACTTTCTGTAACATATTTGATTTGAGAGGTGCTGATCAAAATCTGGATGCCAATGTTGGATATACAGCACAAAGGTCCACCTTTCTGAAGTTATCGTCAAATTGTTAAAAACAGTAAGGAAAAATTTTTGACAGAAAATATTGAATTTATTCTTCACATTGCTATAAAGGCCTACCAGTTATAAAATATAAGACATAAAAATGTAAATGGTCTCTATTTTCTATATTAAGACTGAAGATACTTTGAACTTTAGACTTTCATGACTGACCTATCATGACTGAAAACAATGTAACAACCCCATGAGCACTGCAAATGGGAGCAACGGTTATTTCTGAGATAGTTAAGATGGGCATAGATATTAGATGACCACTAGTTAGGTGGATTTTTCTTTTACAATTAAGATGTTTGCTTTTAAGTGTATTGTACGTGTGGAAAAAAAAAAAAGAAAATCCTTCTTAACACACAGGTCTGGCTTTTCCTTGCTGAAGGAATAAATGAAATAGCAAAGACATCCATAAAGTACCACTTAATTTATCAGCCAAGTGCTTATGCACATGGTCAAATAGCTACAGAAACAATTTGCTCTTCACACACTTTTTTTCCTGTAAAAACAAACAAATAAAAATAAAGAGTTCAACTTACAATATTATTAGTTGCTCTTGAAGGTCAGCAAGTCTTTCGTTTATATGAAAGATCACAACTGCCATACATGAGAAGTTATTACCCAGGACAGTAATGTTTAAAAAAAACATTTGCAACTCTAAATTTAAAGATACTTCAGATAAAAGTAGGGACGAGAGGGAGATGTAAGAAATCCTAAAGCAGAATTTTTGTATCCTACAAAAGAGTCCTCGAAGAATTATAGGAAAGCAACCTTCGTGACTGTGGTTACCACAAAGCTACTAGGAAATGAATGTATATGCTGTTTATTAGTTTGACAAATTAAACAAGGAGTAATGTGAGCGGTAAAGCATCTCGGGCAACTGCAGAGATGATATTTGAGACATCTTAGTACAAATGTAAATTTTTCCTCGTCAGTGACTAAGGGCTAAGTCAGGTCACTGCTGGAAAGGTTAGTAAGAACCCACTCCCAGCACAGTACCACAGCTTGTTGCCAGTAACAAAAGCACTTTTAAACCTGGTCTAGATATAGACTCTGGACAAATCAGGAAGAGAGATGAACCATGAAAATAAAACTGAGTTAAACACGGTGTACCTTTGCCCTTTTCCCTCCTCTCATTCTAAAGCAACAGCCTGAAGACTACTTTCCACTTCCAGGGCCAAGAAAACTCAGACCAGTTGGGCAGCCAACATACAAAATAAAATCATTTAAGATATGTTTATTCAAACCATGCATCTGAGGGAGCAAAGACTAAGTAGATACTTATACTACGCTACAAACAAATTAATAACATTTTTGCAGACATAGGAAAGAGAAAAAACACAAATTGCCTTGAAAAGCCTTAAATGCCAAGTCATCATTTTGGTAGTGGCAATGACAAAGTAATTCAGAGATATTTTGCTCTGTTTCCATTGTTTCTCAAAAGTGGCCTTCAACCCAAATTATCTTTGAAAACCTTTCAGAAAGCGAATGTCCCAATAACTAAATGGACAAAGATTTCATTTGGGCAGTCTTGAGCTGCGTTTCGCATATGGGCATCCTGAACACTGTACTGTTGAGACTCCCTTTCTGACATGGACAGCCTGAACATTGTACTGTTCATGCAGCATGTAACATCCTTGGCAGCTGGAAACTGAAAATCTATGAACTAATTAAAATAATCAAGAACAGCATTATACACTCTCAAATGCCTAAGCATATACACTAGCCCCCCCAGTATAAATCAATACTATTAAAAACAAAAAAAAAACACCTGCAGAGTTGAAAAGAACTCAATGGCAAGGAAAAAAACCCTCAAATTTATATTTTTAAAGAGAAAATATATGCCAGCCCCCTATTTTGAATATTAAACCCTGTATAGAGGCATGGTCAAGGTACAGTTATTTGTTCTGCCCGGGCCTGACAGAATGTTGTTTAAACACACTGCA